AAAAGATACAAGATGTAAGGAACCATACTAAGTAAATCAATCAATCAATAAATGTCTTTATTGATCGCGAATAGTAGGTTATAGAACGATGCATAAGTAAAATCTTGCGAAGTGAGGTGTCGTGCAATGTAGAACAGAGAAATAATGAAAGAAAGGGTCATAGTGAAGTGAGGTAAAGTGAAGTGAAGTGAAGTGAAGTGAAGTGCAGTGCAGTGTAATGTTAATTGAACTCATATGAATTGAACTCTCGTGAATGTACTCATGTTGTTAAAGTATATATTTGCTACATTATTATAATAATAATAATAATAATAATAATAATAATAATAATAATAATAATAATAATAATTATTATTATTATTATTATTATTATTATTATTATTATTTTGTGGAGGAGGAAAATCTTTTATGGATACCAATGAAGATGATGATGTCGTTCTCCCAACTGAATTTCGACTAAAACATAACCTCCGTCTCTTAAGCCGTATTCTCTCCCACATGGAAACCGTCATTGGACACTACTCACGGAGATGCTCTGGCTGGTAGCAGGTGCTCTACTTCCTCTGTCTTAATTCTCACTTCTTCATAATACTAACAATGAAGTTCTCTATTGTTTTCCATTTTTCCTGCAAACTCAGCATTATGTCGACCATATTGTCTGGGTTTATATCTTGTTGGAGGTTGGCATTACATACCTCGTTCTGCGTCCCATGCCTTGCACTGGAATAGTGTGTGTTCCGCATCATCTATGTCTGCGTGACAGAGTACATGTGGGCCACCCTACGATCCAGAAATCTTAGAGGTATTTATTCAATCCTCCATGTCCCGTAAGAGCCTGGGAGATATAATAACTCACCTCCCCAAATCTTCGGCTATCCCATCTCTCGATGTTAGTAATCAACCGATGAGTTCATCTGCCTTTCACATCCCCATCTCATCTTCCTTGCCATTCTTCAATGATCTACTTACTTGCTTCTGTTTTAATACTTTCAATATGCTTGGGATGGAGATGACCATCCGCTTGTGCTTCCTTCAAGGTGAGGTACGTCCTCTTTCTTTTCATGGCGATAGGTGGTGTACTGGCCAACAACAGCACTGCGCAAGTAGACACTGTGCGGTAGGCGCACGCCGCCCTCAAGGCTATTCGTCTTTGTACTTGGGAGTACTTGTGTCTGGTAGACTGCTTCTCCAGCGAATCCGCCCAGAACGGAGAAGCAGAAATTAAATCATGGCTGCAGATAAACAAACATACGGTGTGACAACCAACAACAGTGTGTATTCCCAACTGTAACTTGGTAGTGTCTGCTCAAGGTTCAAATAGGCGGCGAACACTACAGAGTATAGTAGTCGCCCGCTCCACAATAAGAGAACCGCCACCGGGACGCAGCAGTGAGATGGGGGCGTCCCAGGAAAATACGGGCACCGCTCACGGGAGGTCGCTGATGCCGGGTTCAGCGGAGCCGCCACGCTTCGCCCGTACGGCCGGGCCAGTCGGCGAGCCTTTAGCCCTGACCGTGAATACAACAGCGCCCAGCGTGAAGGCAGTTCAATTTGCCCCAGCAAAGAGCGAGCTACGAGAGTGAAAGTGATAGTGAGTGGCAACGCTGCTGGCAATTGTAACGGACTTCTCTTCTGTTATTTGGATCGCGACCACAGCATAGTTCTGGACATCTCTTCTGTTAAATCTGGCAAGTACCCGGTAAATCTCCTGGCTATTTTGGGACTACGCATGTTAATGGATTTCTCTGTATGTTTTGTAATTGTGAATAAAAAACGTTTATGAAATTAAGTTGTGTTGGTTATAATACAGAGGAAATGAGAAAACATGACTCGAGAAAAATGGGAAAAAACTAGACACTTTGAGTTGTCGTTTGACGCACTTCCTCGTTGAGCAAAAAGATTATCATATCTGCATAACATGAGAAATTAGAAATTAGATTAGATTAAATTAGATTAGCTTTTGGTCGCCACAGCGATTTTGGCAGAGACGGGCTGCATCTAAATTGGAAGGGTGCAAAAAATCTTGGGAGCCTGTTCTCTAGATTAGGAGAGGCCGAAACTCGATTGCACGGTTGAGGTTCCTCAGCGGTGGTCGCAGCATCGACAGTAAATTGTGGGGGGGGTGGAGCAATTGAGACAGTAGAGAGGGAGGACCGAAATGAAGAGATTAGGGCAACTGTGAAAGGAAAGAACGAGGAGTATTCGTCAACTCCAGAATTCATCGTCGGAGCAGAGGCTGTGGCAACGGGCGTGAACGAGTCAGCTGCGCAGGACTTCAGCGAAACAGAGACGGTGGTAATGGGCGGGAAGGACTCGGCAGCGCGGGATGAAGACGACTTTGAGACTACTGCTGAGCACGACAACGACAGCGAGGCGGCGAGAATGGCACTTGAACACCACACCGGTGCGGTGCACAGCGGCGGCGGCTCAGCGGCGGCGGAGACGACGGCGGCGGCGGCGACGACGACGGCGGAGACGACGACGAAGGCGGCGACGACGGCGGCGGCGACGACGGTGGCGGCGACGACGGCGGAGAAGAGGGACGAGCCTTCTCGAGAATACAGTCAGGTGAGGAAAGGGTTTTTAAGGTTGTTGCAGGTAAACTGCCGGAGCAAAATTAACAAAGAAATAGAGTTTTGGAATCTAGTTGATGCCTGTGATCCCGACGTAGTGATAGGGACTGAGGAAATTGGGTCCACTGAAATTTTTCGTTCTCATTACAAGATCTTCAGGAGGGATAGGAATGATAGAGGGGGCGGAGTTTTTATTTGCGTCAAAACAGGCATGGATATTAGATTAGATTGGGTCAGTACAGAGTTTGAAATGATGGGAATAGAAATTATTATTTCAGGAACCATACTAGAAATCATTGCATGCTATAGGCCTCCGAGCGTCGGTTTCGTCATTTTAGATGACATCACTCAGAAAACAAAAAACCCGAATGGCTATACCATTGTTATAGGAGGTGACATAAATATTCCTAGCGTAAATTGGGAGGGAACCGTGAGCGAGAGGAAAGTCCAAACACTTGTGAACAGTCTAGTTTGGGAAAGAGGATTAACTCAGATAGTTCGGAGCGGGACGCGGCAGGATACGATTTTGGATGTCTACTTAATTAGGCCGAAATAACTTTTCATATTTTGTGATGTTGAAGGCATTAGCGACCACAAAGCAGTTCTGCTTGACTTAGACAAAAATATTACAAGGAAAGGTATCACGATAGGAAGAAAAGTACGGCAATACAAGAAAGCAAATGTACACGGGCTTCAAGTTTTTTTAGGGAACAATACAAACCCTTTCTGAGAACCGAGGGAGGTATGGAAGAAATATGGGGTGCGTTCAAAGATATTATACTCCAAGCTTTGCAAAGGATTGTTACTTGCAAAATTTTAAAAAATAATACGGACCCAGAATACTATAATGCAAAAATTAGGAGAATGAAGAGGGTAACGAGAAAGACATTCAATAACAGAAAACGTAGTAGCGAACATATGAATATTTTTCGAAATCGTTCCAAAGAATTGGAGCGAGAAAAGAAAATTTTCTCAGGAAGCATATTTGAAGAATATTCTTGATGGGAAGGGAAATAACTGGAGAGGATTTTTTAAATATGTTCGTAGAAGGAAAGGAAATAAAGAGGATATCCCAGTTGTTCCTGAGAACGGAAACACGCTCATTACTAACGATCGGGCAAAAGCTAATGAGTTTAATAAGTATTTCAGTTCAGTTTTCAAAAGCAATGCAAATCATTCATTAATTCAGGGGTCTTCGGTTACAAATCAGTTTAATATTGAAGTGGACGTTATACGGAATAAAGTAAAATCTATGAAAAATGGTAAGTCAAGGGGTCCAGATGACATTTCTACGGACATAATTAAACTGGGACGAGAGGCAATATTACCGTATCTAATTAGAATACTTCACGTTTCCACGAACAATTCTACAGCACATGAAGACTGGAAATTAACTTTTGTCGTACCAATTTTTAAAAGTGGTGACAAAACTATATTAATTATAGCCCGGTAAGTCTTACGTCAGTGGTGTGCAAACGTATGGAGTATCTAGTTGCCAGTTACATTAAGCAAGAATGGGAAATCAAACAATGTCTCTATGATGGCAAACACGGCTTCAGGAGTGGTTATTCATGTGGAAGTCAGGTAGCCTCGCTATTACCGGATCTAGCAGATGAAGTAGACGCAATAGTTATAGATTTTGCCAAAGCGTTTGATGTCGTTTCCCACGATCGGCTCGTACAGAAATTAATGAATTCAGGTATAGATTTCAGAGTGGTGGCGTGGATTAGCGAGTTTCTGCGAGACAGAAAACAGAAAGTCCGAATTGGCCATGCGTTTTCTACCGGGGCAAGCGTTGCGTCAGGAATACCGCAGGGGAGTGTCATTGGACCTCCTCTATTTCTAGCGTTCGTCAATGATCTGCCAGCGCAATTAATATCAAATGTCCGGCTATTTGCAGACGATTGCATAATATATTGTAGTGTGAATTCGAAAGAAGACGAAGTGTTGCAACGGGATCTTGATGCGTTACATTGCTGGGCGGAAAGTGATGGAATGACCATAAATAGCTCCAAAAGCAAATCCATCTCCTTTGGCAGGGCATAATTACAGAGAAACGAATTACCGTTTAAAAAAAACATTATGCCAATAGTTGCCTCATGCAAGTACCTAGGAATCCATTTTGATAGTAAATTAAGCTGGAAAACTCACGTCGATTTTGTTGTAGGGAAAGCCTTGAGATATCTCCACTTTGTAATGCGCAACTTAAAAAAGAGTTCGGCAAACGCGAAAGAAATTGCTTATTTATTACTTGTTAGACCGATAATGGAATATGGAACACTTTGTTGGGATCCGCACAAAATTTTGCCGTGTAAGAATTTGGAAAGAATTCAGCGTAGGGCAGCTTCACTTTCAGGGACAAGAAATTGGCAAAATGGGATTCTCTCGAAAATCAGCTTCAAAACCAAGAAATTTAGGAAATGACTCGCCTGTTTCACGTAATGTGAAAAAGAAAAGTTCATTTATATCAGAGTCATTTCCTAAATTTCTTGGTTTTGAGCTGCCCAAACTTCATACTTCATACATCATACTTCATTAGACATCTTGATTGACCTTCTCCACGTGCGTGAGAAGATGTGAGTGATATAATGTGTCGTTCCGCTCCAATTCCTGTCTAGAGACCATCGACATATATTTCACTTTTTCCCTTTGATATTCTGTCATGAAGTCATTTATGAAGGTAGTCTGCAATTCCTCCGGAACTCTTTTCAGAAATGGGTTCAGGACCATTGTAGAATCTGCAAACATGCGAGTGAAAATTTATTGCAATCATCACAGAAATAGCTGCCTGGACATTCATTATTCTCAAAGAACAAGGTGGTAACATCATGTCATTCCGTGGTGAAATGCAAGAAGTAAAAGTCTTTATTGCTTCGCTTGTACATATGGATTAAAACTATTCAATTTCTTATTTGTTACAATTCCCTTGGACCGGTAGGGATGTGCCACGGAAACTACTGACGCCTCTGCGCTGACTGAGTAACAGTAGCAACAAGAGAGTGCGGCGAAAGTGTTGTTACAAGAAGAATTCTCCCCTTGTTATACACTAGTTAATTTGAAACCAAAACGTGAAACATTCTTTTCGTTATCTATACTGAGTCAAGTGGTGCTGTAGAATGGGGCAGAACTTTTCGCATTGGTATCAATTCTTAAGTCTACACTATTTTTTACAGTTTTTCCCCTACGTTCTTGCCAGCCTGCAAGAGGGTGTAGAGACGGAAACCCGGAGGGTGGTCCGTGGTCGTACGATGTCCTGCGAGTTGGGTGAAAAACTACGAAAGAGTATTTATAGCTGATATTTTCACACCATATTAACCGATTACAATATATCGCCTTCGGCTGAGTGATGGTTTACAAGCCTCGTCGAAGAGGTATTCAATGCGACTCGTGTGGTAAGCGACTGTGCTTTTTCGTATGCCAGTTTTGTATAAGGTATTCGATGACCGGAGGGTCGATGGAGACGCTGACCCATGCCCAATACATCAATAATGTAAGATGTGAGTCTTATATAGGCGCAAAATACATACTCTGCGCCCCATGAACTACCAATAAGGGTGCGAAGGATGTTCAAAGATGATACACAGCGTCTCTTCACGTTTTGAATGAGCTTTTGCCATGTAAAACTCTTGTCAAAAATTAGGCCAAGGAAAGTGGCAGATTCAACGAAGGGGAAGTTTCTGCCCCTCCCAAAAAGATCAGAATGATAAAGGAGGTGATATACTCTACAGAGATGCGTGAAACTGTATTTTGAGATTGAGAACTTGAATCCAGTTTTAGCGCTCCATTCTTGCAATTAGTTGAGGTCAAGCTTCAGCTGCCTCTCAATAACGTGCGTGCTCTTCTAGGAGTTGAGCTCGCCAAAGCATTGCCTTCACAGGCTTTCGAATAGCTAATGCGAAACTATTGACAGGAATGGTAAACTGGGTAACACTCAGAATTGATCCCTGAGGAACACCGTTTTATAACTGGTGACTTGGCGTGTCATGAAAGTGGGAGCGGAAAGGTCTTGACGAAAGAAAATCTACTAGAAACAAAGCGCGCCGTCTCCTAAAGCTCCAAGAATGCAAGGTGTGAAGAATGTTGTACCTCCAGGTGATGTCATACGCTTTCTATATGTCGAAAAAAAAATGTTACCAGGTGTTGAAGCACAAAAGAAGTGCACGGCAAACATATGGGTGGGCGTTCTTCATATAGGGGGAGCCAGTGAAATAGAAGTGACAGAAGAAAAGAATGTTATACTGGTAAAGATGACAGAGCCATCCCTGCACCTCCCGTGAGGACGAGGGCCATCCTATCACGACGGGTGGAAATAATACAAATTATCTTGTGCCACTAAAATGGCAACAGATCATATGTTGAAAACAATAGAGAAACAAGATCAGAGAGATATCTCGGATTCAAGAGCCACATACGATAGAAAACAGGTATACAAATAAATAAAAAAACATTTCATCAGGATCAGGCAAACGGACAGAAATTGTAATCATATCCCAATATTGATTGATTTTTAATTCAGCAAACATCAGATGAAGACCTGGTTACAATAGAAATTATATATCAAAATACAAAATTAAATCTGATCACTGTGTTTCAACCTGCACAAAACAATTAATGAGGATTTAAACAAAATTGATAAGGCACTAAAGCGCATTTAATATCATAGTATACTAACAGGAATGGGCTGTATTCATGATCAACAACTTGGCAATATACCGTGACAAATTACAGAGAGCAAGTTTCACAAGCAAACTATTAATTATAATTAATGAAAAAAGTGTGTGCATCACCTTCCAAAATAATACATGATCAAGTAACATTAATTTCACATTAATGAATGCAAAACTGCATTTTATTCATGAATGGTCATTTGAGAAAGAGCACGTGTGTGTATGTGTGTGTATGTACATACGTGTGTGTGTACACCCCCACCCCCTCCCCCACATACATACATACACACACCACCACCCCCTTCCTATGAAGTATTGTGCTATAGTGGCCCTAGACGTGAAAAACGCCTTTAACACTGCAAGGTGGAGCTCCATTCTTTCTGCGCTACTCTTGGAGTTCCAAGGTACATCTCGAACGTGGTAAAAAGTTACTTTAAGGAGAGAACCCTCCTATATGAAACTGGGGTTGGAGTACAATCTTACACGGTCACAGGCGGTGTCCCACAAGGTACTTGGTACTTGGTCCGATGTTGTGGAACATCATGTATGACGCCGTGTTGAAGCTCGAGTTGCCGGAAGGCGCAAGAACTATTGGATTCGCTGACGATGTTGCAATTTTCGTTGTCGGCAAATACATCGAAGAAGTCACACAGGTTGCCAACGAGGCTGTGGCGGAGATCCGGCGGTGGCATACGTCGGTAGGGCTACAGATGGCAGCCCATAAAACAGAGGCTGTACTGGTGACGGGCAGAAAAGTGAGAGAGAGTATTACTCTTAATGTAGGAGGCTGCAAAATATCCTCGCAGCTGTCACTGAGGTATTTGGGAGTGCATATTGACGCGAGACTGCGCTTTGACGAGCACCTGCGCAATGTCTCCGAGAAAGCGTCTCGTATGGCATCGGCATTGGCACGCATTATGCCTAATGTAGGGGGCCCTGGACAAAGAAGTCGCAGGCTGCTGACTAGCGTAGTAAATTCCATTCTTCTCTACGCAGCCCCTATTTGGGCTGATGCCATGGGCATTCAGTCATACGCCCGTGGGGCTAAGTCTGTGCATAGAAGGTCCGCCTTGCGGGTTGCTCGAGCGTTTCGCACCGTATCCTATGATGCTGTGTGTAAGCAGATATGGCTCCGATCGACCTCATTGCGCAGGAGAGAGCTAGAGTATTTGCGCAAGCGGGAGGGGGCTTCAAACTGGAATACCATTACGAAAGAAGAGAGGGGGGTGACAATGGGGCGATGGAGATTTCGGGTCATTCCCGACATCATGACGTGGATTCAAAGGGAACATGGAGAATTACACATACACACATCCACACCCACATACATACACACATCCACACCCACATACATACACACATCCACACCCACATACATACACACATACACACCCACATACATACACACATCCACACCCACATACATACACACATCCAAACCCACATACATACACACATCCAAACCCACATACATACACACATCCAAACCCACATACATGCACATACCCACACCCACATACATACACACCCAACACGGCAACATGTTACCGAAAACCAATACAACAATTAAATGCTGCAGAACACACTGGGAAAGCTCACCTGCGAAGTCCTGCATTGTGGGGTAACGGTAGCTGAAGTTCTCTACCTTGCACGCGTGAATGTTGAACCCCGCCTGCTGCAGCTCCGCAGAAAAATTTTTCACAGGGTCTGTTGAGCGTTTATAGGGCGGCATGAAGCTGTATGCGTCCTAACACAACCGTTGCTTTAATATTTTTACTATATTATGAGAAACATAGGTCGAGAATAAAATGCAGAAATTAAGAAAAATAATAGGTAAAACCAAACATTTTGATTCGGTGCATTATTACTCCAAAATAACGTAAACTTAAAGAAGAATGTGTAAAATACGCAAAAGTTCAAAATGGTTCAAAATTTAAATTTAGTTTAAGTGTTAATAATGCATTGTCTTGTGAAACTATTTCGCCATTTGGTGTCATATTCGTGTATTTTAATTTACTGCGTCGTGTTCTTCAGGCATCTTTTTCCGCACTTCATCTTAGCAAACTTGCGATTTCTGGCTTTATTATGCTGATTGTGTGTAAACATACCTGCATAAAGTCACACCAACGAGGGTTGTTTTGCATAGCGATATGTGCATCGTACATGGGTGCATTGGCCACCAACAACAGGAGTGCCTCTCCTGGCCGCAGCAGGTTGTGGATGTTGCGAAGTGCAGTTCTGACGACAGCAATCGATACAACCAACGTCAACAACGAAGAGTTTACATACTTTCCCTTCTTTATGCATTTTAGATAACTCCTACATACTCACACACCCACACACACAAAATTCCACTCAACGTCATTAACAGGTAGTGATTTTATGGTTCCTAGGGCCGAATAACTGCAGATGAAATCGTGCAGTTATGGGATCATATAATTAATCTTTTTGTAATTAGCTATCTGTAATCTGAATTTCCCGTGCAACCATAACTTGACTTAATATTTATGCGTTGTCTGTACATGTGAAACATGTCTATATACACTTACTTGGGAAATCTTTTTAAATTATAAAAGTATTACACTTTTGATTGAAAAGTACTGTATCTTTCTGAACTCTAGAGCGTAAATCATTTAAAAGATTTCCAGCAAAACTGATATTCCTTTATACTTCTGGCTGAATTCTCCTTGAATATGAAATATTTTCTGAAGGAACTTAATATTGATGTTTCAGATATATCCGGCATAACCTGCAATTTTCAAAAAATGGCTCAACATTTTTTTAATTAATTTGTCCGTCTATTTAAAATAAGGTTACAAAATTGTGCAGGTCAGATTTCCACAAAAATATTTAATTTTGCAAAAACTGCAAATGTAAAAATATTATTGTGCTTACTCCACCAACATTGTCAATGGAACATTATGTTTAAAAACAATCAAATGAAAAGTTTTTCACATTCTCATATACTCTACCGCTCTCAGTTCGACCAGATATACCTAGGCTGCTAATCTTCATTCTTACCTAGTTTATTACCTAATTTATACCTCCTAAAATAGCTAGAAGGCCAATCTTACATTCTCGTATTCTCCTTGCATTGTACCGAGGGAGAAAATATTTTAATATTACAGCACAATTACTCACTTTCTTTACACTTGTCATTGAGTTTCATTCTGATTTTGTCATTGGTATTACATGTAAGATGCAATAATATTCCGAAGTTTAGATACTCACTTCCACGCAACAAATATTGCTCCTTAAAAAAAATGTCATTCATTGTACCAATAGTGGGGGTGGTCGTAAGCTAATATCTTTCCACCTCGAATAGTGCTAAGCGATGGAATTGCAAAGTGGCGCGGCGAAGGCCCATCTCACCGTTGGTCGACCACCCAGTGGTGTGCGTAGAAGGAGAAGACCTTGTGGAACCCCTGGAGTTGCTGTGCGCATGCGCCCAGCGGCGTGGCTGGCAGGTCGCGCGCGGCGATGTCCGTGCACAGGAACCGCAGGCGCGGCGCCAGCGCGGCGTGGGTGGCGGCGGCGTGGCGCACCATCTCCTCGCTCACGTCGTGGCCCACCAGCACGCGCACGCTGCTGGGCAGGCGCGGCAGCAGGAGCTGCGCCGTCACGTCGCCCGGGCCGCAGCCCACGTCCAGCACGGCCTCCTGCTCCTCGCGCGACCAGCGCAGCCGCCCCGCCCACTCGCGCAGCACGCGCGACACGTTCATGTGCTGCACATCGTTGCTGCGCGCGTACAGGGCGGCCTGGTACATGCTGCGCACTATCAATCTGTTTAAGAGACATTATTAGAATACTTATCTCAGACGACATTCGATTGTACGACGCTTCATGTCTATGAGTAATCAAATACCATTTTTCTATCATTGAGCACTAAATTAATGGGGTCTCGGTACTTAAGTTGTGAAGTGGGTAATATAAAATTTCCAACATTTTCTTCGAAACTTGAGTTATTTGTTTCATACTGTGACTGCTCAGCTAGCTGCTGAGCCGTACTATTCTGTAGTTTTCACGATATGAGGAGAGCAAAATAAATGTATATAACGAATGCATTTTAAATTCATGTTGAGTTAGATAGGGATAGTTTATATTTTCTACTAAATACGCCAATGTTTTCTTTGCGACATTTTCTTTGATCGATATTTTGTCCAGAAAAAAAAACGTTTTGAGAACTATTTTTCTGGAATTATTCTTCTTTTTAAATAAAATTTCCAGTATTAAATTTTTACAATATATCATGTTCTAAAGCAGAGAAAAAGCATAACAATCTCAGTACCATTTCTAATTTCCAGCCGTAAAATACATATTTAAGTTCCTAGTGTGCTGTAACTCTGCACACGTAAGAATTAAGGCATATTAGTGCTTTTTCGATAATCGTCCAGATTGATGCAGAGAGAGGGTGCTATTCTGGTGCATACTGGAATTTCTGGATATGTTACGTTCACCTCGTCAGATTTGATTGTTTTCAGCTGAAACTTTGTAAAGACGTTCTAATCTAGTTTTTCTGTCCCGGAGGGTATTAAGGCATTTTAATTGAGGGGAGGTACTGTACATAATGCGTCCGTGATATATTTGAACACCCTAGAGAATAACTGAAAATTTGTCAATTTTATTTTTTTTAACTATTACACGATAGAGCAATTATACGTGTAAGTTAATAGAATGAGCGGTTATTCATTGTTAATTTTTCACTATTTTATTGAGAGTTGAAATGTATATTTAATCATACGACATGTTCAAGGAAAACACGTGAAAGTAATTATTCTTTGCGATGCGAAAATGGTAATTTTCTTAACGCCGAACGGTGCTTTTAGTGCAAAGATTAGAGAGATTACATAAATGCAAAATGCATATATTGCCTTACGTGTGTCTTTCCACAAAAAAAGATTCAGTGACTAATTAAAATTTGTTCATTAAGTTATTGAGCTATGGTGAACGGAATGATTGCTTTACCATAGTTCTCTACAATCTGTACAGATGTTTGTGAATATAATATACTTTAGTTACGTTTCCAGAGTCCTTCATCTGTTTTTACAGCAATACTTTGATCGTTCCAGAATTTTAAAAAATCATTTCATTAGCCTTCAAGAATGAATTTGACGTGACTCCAAGTGTTAATACTATAAGAAATCAAATATTTCTTGGGAATCTTTTCAACTTTCCGCGCAGTGAATCTGCAGAACCATTTCAACTTTTCTACAACCACATTCCACATACCAAATTTTCGGTGACCATCCTTGATACTTAACCTATTTGATCTCGTCGCAACATTCCATGACATCTTTGAACAATACCGATTGTTTTGATGTTTCCTGCATAATTTCATTCAATTTTAATTCTTTAAATGAAACCCTCCACTCGTGCTGAAACGCGCTACCTTGGCCTTGCAATCCTGCCCAGTCGTCAGCTACTAATTCGTCAGCCGCTGCGTCAACGCTAACGGCGTAAGGTAGCTGACTAGAGTATATTGTAAAAATTGTTTTGTAGCTATTATTTTGCTGCATTGTTTGTAACTATTTAAAACCTGTTTAGTGGTTTAAACAGTGCTCGGATAGATAAAGAAAAAGAAAAGTTTGCTGGTTGCCGACACCACCCGAGCAGCATGGATGTTTTCCGAAGAGCGACTCGTCGACAATATCTAAGAAGATCCCAGCGACACTGCTCTATGATGTAAACTTTAGTGTCTAGTCAATGTTACAAGCTGGAAGAAGAGGACACCTCATTCAATACCAAAACTTATAACAAAGTTCCCGATTGCATGACTGTGCCCCACCTCTCCTTCCTGCTGAGCCTTGAAGGGACAAAGTTTAAATGAATATAGGGATATTCTCCATAACATCGGCCCTCCATCTTTCGTCCTCTTCTGGCAGTTCCCGCACCACGCTACGTTACGCTACTTTTAATTACCGCGACGAGAGCTTCCCCAATGTTTGTATCTACTAGAACCGTCCTCGTACTCACTAATTACAGCAGGAAGTACTGACCCAGTTCTTCCATTACGGATCTCGCACTGATTTTAATTACTCTACTACCTATTAATGTTCTTTCACAAAATTCGTTTACTTTCTGGAATGCGATCTGCACCCTCTCATGTCTATATTCTTAGGAATTGGTCCGTAGGACAAGAATTAATCTGTAAAATCACCAGCTTTTCCGCTAATTGTAAAAGCTCCCGCTCTTCATAAAGCTCTGTTAATCTTTTATTTTTTAACTTTAATTCTCAATATTAATCTACGATCGTTTATCTACAGTAACCACCACGTGCAGTTGAATGTCTGACGAAGGTTTCTGTCCCCAAGTCCACTTATATCGCTTTCTTACTCAAATCTATTCTGCTCGACATACTTCTGGTGCTATTAACTGCCCGATTTTGTATCAACGACTTTTATACTGCCATTCTTTTCCGTCGATGGGTACTACGAAATATCATATCACACTCTCCTACATAGCTTTGTATCCATACGAATAAAACAGCCGCTGCTTACCTCACGCCGTGTCCGCTCTCGTTGGTGTAGCAACCTGGTAGCAACTGAGCTACTGCCTGCCAGCAGCGGCCTCCCCCTCTCTGTTCCCCTCGAAAGGATTACCCTCCCTTCTCGTCGAGGGCTTCTGGTTCGTAGCCCACCGTCCGCGTCAGCACGACCTTCTGCGCGGGAACTTCGAACTAGTGTGTTTCGATTACGTTAGTTACGATTAGGACCTCTCATAGAAAATACGGGCTCTCTTTCTCTCACTCACTCTGTCTGTCTTTCTTTCTTTCCTTGTTTCTTTCTTTGTTTCTTTCTTGATTTGTTTCTTTCTTGTTTTGTTTCTTTCTTTATTTGTTTCTTTCTTTCTTTGTTTCTTTCTTTCTTTCTTTCTTTCTTTCTTTCTTTCTATCTTTCTTTCTTTCTTTCTTTCTTTCTCTCTATCTATCTACCTATATCTATCTATCTTTCTATCTATCTATCTATCTATCTATCTATCTGTCTCTATATCTTTCTCTTTCCTTTTGTCTGTTTCTCTCTCGCGGTCTGACTGTCTTCCTATATCTGTCTCTTTCCCTCTCTCTTTTTCTCTGTGTGTCGACATCGATTACCGCCAAATTTTCAAACATGCTAGCAGATCGTATCATGGATCTTTCAAATCCATAATCTGTAAGGAACTAATGAAATATGTGCCGGTGATCTCTACGGGCCCATCCCACGATACAGTACTCAGGGTTTTGACAATTTATTCGAAACATGACGATATAAGATATTATCAAGAACTTTCTAGATATCGGCTGTAAGACAAGGAATTCAGAGTCATCTTGAGGTATATCGCCTTTCAAGACATTGTACTCAACCGATTATAGCAGCTGACTGTAGTTCTAAACGAAATTTGGTTCGGGGCATTTCTGTAATCATACCTTCTGTTTAAATAACATTGATCAGAAAGTATGCATATTGAATAACATTTGTTTGATTTGTCATTAACTGATCATTTTGGAAGTGGCTATGCTTCTGGAAAAAGAGTGCTTTATGGTATGTAATTAATTATTGTATAGTGTCTCCCTATCAAATAATTTTCGATTTTTCCGAATTTCCAAGACCACCGCAAACAGTGGCGTGCAACAGAAGATACCCCTAGACCGATGCAATATGGGGGCTCCTAATTAAAGACATGACATTAATTTAATTTTGTGGTTATAAACTGGATTGTAGTAGAGACAAAATTTATTATAATAAATGAATACAGAAAATAAACTTATATTTTTGTAGTTTCATGATGTAGTTTAAAATTTTAATTGTTTAGCATTTACAAATTTATCTTTGACAGTATAAGTACTATTTTTCAACTGCGTAGGCCTTTGTGCTCAAAGGATAAAATTCATAAATCACTGAGACTGTCTGGTGCCATTTTACTTCGTAAATCTTTAATTGTAAAGAGTTATTTATGGAATTTCATAAGACTGGGAATTTATATAACACAGAACGCAGAGAAGCTTCTTTTTAATTTAATATTTACTTGTTCCTGTTTCTCACCCTTTTTAAACATGTTTAAATATTTGATATAGGTCTCTGAAAGGCACAGCTTGTATCGAAATTATTGCCAGATTTTGCCGCAAGAGGTCGCGTTAAGCAGTACTAGGCGGATGTACAATAACGTGCTAAAGATATTTCAGCAAATAATTTGTTTATTTGATCACAACATTTTTATAGGCAAGAATTCATTATTTAATATTGAAATTTGCATTTATTCTGGGAAACCCAGTGTAATGGATCATAAACTTGAGATTTAGCATTTTTAATAATTAACCCCTTTCCTGTTTCACCCCTCTCTTGAGCGTGTCAAAATCTGTAAACTAATAACAATTTATTACGTTACACCTAGTTTACGCTCCTACAGTACAAGTGTTTCCTTTTTTTGTGAATTTGGGATGTCGCCCCTTTTTTTCATTTATTTAATTGTTTGTTGAAGTTACAAAGTTGTTTGATACGAATGCTATTTGGTGTGTTATTTCATTTATGTTTAGATCGAGATTTAATTGTTTATTACTAATGAACCATGGTGCTCTTGTTATTAATCTTGAATATTTGTTTGGAAATACTTGCAATTTGTTGAGATTGGTTTTGGCGGCATTGGTCCAGATCGGGCATGCGTATAATAGAATTTGGCGAATAAGTGATTTGTATAGCGGTAGTGCATTTGACAGTGAGAGATGGTTGTATGAGTTTAGTAGAGGTCTTAATTGGATGAGATTTGTGTTTCTCTGTTGTGCTTTTATCTCAAT